TTTTAGTCAACTGTCTACTGTGACTGTCTACAATGACGCTATTAGGAGGAATGTTTGGAACTAGTTTGTTTTTAAACCAACTTTCAAATAAATCAGCGGCGGTGTCTTCATGGTAATCCAGGGAAGAATCTTTAATATTTTTCGCAGACAGAAAAAGTCCATTTGGAATCCAACCATCTTTAGAGTCAGCATGGTATCATAAGTGTCGAACCAGATTTCATCCAAGAAAATAATTGGCCTTTGTTGTTCTCTGTAAATCCTAATTTTTTCTAGTTATTCCAGTCGCCATTTCCGAATTCTATAAGATTCCATTAAAGCTTGCCTTTTGTCATTTTTTTTTTATCTAAAACCCATGTGTTGAATACACTTCCATAAGGTAGTTCTGCCACATTTAACACCGGTTTCATCTTTTTCAAGCCTTTATTATTATGTCTTGGTCACTTTCATCTACACTTGAGAAAATGTCAGCATCGCTTCTTTTTTTCCTCGCTGAAATTGGATTATTCACAATTATCCATACAGTTGATGTTGAAATTTTCGTCAATGTGGTCGTTTCTTCTAAAGATGCTGGCTTGCTGGCACCACGTTCAATGAGGGTCAAATAAACATTGTTTATAACTTCCTTAGTCTCAATAGAATATTTTCTACATTTGGGCGGGAGCATCTCCTGAGATACACTAGACTCGCACATATTTTGCATAATTCGCACACGATTCAACACACGCAATAAGAATGATTACTAATAAACTTAAACTAAGTAGTATACCAAACCAAAGAATATTAAACACAGGTAGATATAAAATAATTTTCTATTACGGACCACAATTTTACCTGAATTTAAATTCCGAAACTTTAGGTAATAATCTTGTTGCATTGTATGTTAATGACCACCCTTGGACAATCCCATTCAAAAGCAATTGGTCACTTTCTTATATCTATGAACAGACCATACTGTTCGTTGGTACTACCGTCAGGATAAGATGACTACCTGACTGAATATAAGTTTGAACAAGTCCAAAACGATTGTGATCCTTCGAAACGTTCAAGATTGGAGTGTCAACGACACTGAATAAACCTAAAGGAAAAAAGCGAATAGCCGACGGGGACATGAAATTAGTCAAACGAAAGTAAACGTCTCCGCCACACTTTCACGATCGCGGTAGGCCCTGCCTCGATCCGTGAGTCGCGGCTGGCTTCGGCCAAAAACAATCAACGATCGCAACGTTTCCGTATCGGGTATTTTGCAAGCGCCGGTTGTCGAATGGCAGCGGATCCGTTTCGTTGTCCGATCCGTTAGGTCCGAAAGATATTGTGCTTTCTTCTGCGAGGAGAAATACCGCCTAGCAAACCGCAAGCGCGTATAGCAAATAATTAGAGGAACTATTAAGGCGTAAACCGCGAGTACCGTAGAAGCGAAATGTTCCGTTTTACGGCCAACTTCGTGGGAGTCGGCCAACGATGGGATATTTTTTCATGAGATAACGAACGCCGAAGAAACGGTGGTAGAATATTTATTTACTCTCCTTCAATAGTAAATCAGTATACCAGTAAAAGGTAAAAAAGCGGTAATTAGTCAACAAGTATTATAAACGACACTTTGGTTTGAAGTTTTTTATGCAAAGCGGAGCTAGTGCATAATAAACGAGTAACTGAAGAAGTTTATCAACGTGTTGCATTTTTTCTTGGTATCTGTATAATTTCATCTTTTATTATATTAATGTTTTAAATGACCGTGTCTAGATCTGTAAGATCGGACAGATGTGGCTTTTACTTGATGAAAATCCATTTAGCACAATTAAATTAGAACCAAAAATGTTCAGATTTTCACTGCTGTTTATTACTTTATCACAGCTGTTTCGACAACACCGTGCCCTTACCAAATGTATTAGCTATTAGCTGGCGATATCATTGTTCCGGGTCTTCCAATTCATTCGCTATATTTATTGTTGAGAGTCCGTTATTCGAGCAATATTACGTGGCGGTGCTTCATTTGGTTGGCACATAATCTCGACAGCTTCATTCACTGGCATATTATCTATAAACTCTTCTACATCTTCTAATATAATCCTTTGCACCTTCAAAAAATATGTGGAATGCAAATTCGTTCTTTTTATTTCCGCACCAAGCACTAACAGAACGATACCCAGAACATTTGACCTCAAAATATTTGTCTGGATTTTCTGTATATTCTATTGGACATCTTGCTGTTGTAAAAGAAAAATAAAATAGAGGGTCGATTTCTAGTCTTTTTCCTTCTTGCCATCCATAATCAGCTTCAGTAATTGATACTTAGTGTTTCTGAACTCTCTTTTTCTTCCCATTTCCCATTATTCCCGCATTTATTACATGAAACTTCAAGCATTCTTCTGAAGACTTATTGTCCACGTCTGCACTTCAGATACCAGCACCGCCTATGCGTACAATGTGACCAAACGGTACCGTAGGGTTTAAGACTCTTGTTGCTGGGGAGGGTTCTGTGTCTAGGTCTAAATCTTCCTGGTAACCGTCATTTTCAGATTAAAAAGGAGTGGGGGCAAAGTACAACCTTGCCTTACACCTCTCTCTATCGGAAATCGTTGTTGATGTTGTTTGATTCACGTAGAGATTCTGTATAAATTTGAAGTCGTCTTATTTATCATTCTTGTCTTGAAGTAGGTTTGTTAGCTCTGTACGTTTAACACAGTCCAATACGTTTTAATAATCATTTTTGCAATAATACATTCAAGCTAAAAAGTGCTTCAAGTGTGTATCTTTCACGTCTATTGTAAATTCTAGTCTCAATTATGTTTACGAAAAATTTTAGAACATGACTTAATAATATATTTAACTAGTCACAACGGTTTGCGTTTGGCTTTTTCGATATCACTACAAAGATTGAAGCCTCTGTTTCATATGTGATGTTAAACAGTTTTACAAGGGTATCTACATTTTTATTATGGAGCAGTTGAATTACTTACATATACACTTCATCTGGTCCTGCTACTTTCCATTGTTTATTTGGTTTAATACCTTTAGGTTTCAGTATTTTTAGCTTTCGTATTTATCTGCAACATTTTTCGGGAGCAGCTTCTTAAGGTCAGAGGTGATAGTATTGTTTCTTACAATATTGTTTAGCTTATTAGTCTGTTACTTCTTTCACTAATTTGTGAGTCTTGAAGTGGTCGGACTTTTCTTCCAATTCAGTGCAAGCATCCTACTACCTATAACCACTGTTCTTTAGCTTTACAAATCTTGATCCTTTGATACACTGTAGCGAAATATGATTTCCGTATAAAATAGAAAAAATCTGAGTACGCCACTGAATCGGACTAATAATAATAGTGTTTTTACCCTAATCTGAAATTATCAGAAAAATTATCGAGAATTTTCTAAATGGCCGAAAAAAAAATATTTGCGAAGACTGTTGCTCAACATTTGGGGAGTAAGTATAAATAAATCAAGTAAATACAAAAATTACATATCTACCCAATCATTTAAACGAGATAGGCAATGGTATTTATAATATACATTGTGTTTCCATTTAAATCAGGACCGTATGGAAAGCTCCTTTATTATTACTTTTGTAAAATATGAATTTTAGGCAAGAGTAAAGCGCGTTTATTTTTGAAAATCATCAATTGCTATGAAAAAAATCTCATCATAATTAATAATTATTGTCAAATATCTAAAATTATCAATCCCCAATGAAAATATAATGTTCTGCATGAATGAATTATGCAAATTAACGTCAATTATTTTATTGAAAAACCATCATTACTTTCCGGCACATTATTAATAAATTCTGTAACAATATTTCATTGTATTTGATATTTTATTTTATTTTGCCAATGAAAAGATAAACAAATTAACTAATACCTACGTAATGAGCGAGGTAATAAGATATTATTCAATAGTAAGTAAATTAAAAGTAATAAATACAAATCAAACCTATTTCAATTTTCTCCTAGCAAGTTCATAGAGCTGCCATTACCAGTATTTTAATAAAATTTTTAACAAGCGATATGACGTTTGCCGTCATTGCATTCTAGATTAAATGTCGTCCTATTCACAAAATGCTACTACGCGGAATTTGTCAGGTTATCGAAGATTAAATATGTATCGCTAGACGTACATGCTAATGCAAAGATGCAGAGAAATGTAATAAAAATGTCGGATGGATAATATTTGTATATCTGACAATATGTTTCGATTACTACGACCATTTTTCATTAACAATTAAAATAACGGTTCCCGTATGGCCACACTGTAAAATAAAACCGGCATTAGAAATAAAGAACTATGTATAACTAATTTAACTTCAAAAACTAACCGAACTAATGTTTATTTGATCCATGCGTTCGCGCAACGCATAGGATCGGATTGTTCCGGGGGCAAAAAAATAAACGCCAAGAATCTGCGTGCCTTGTAATTGCGTGCGTATTTTCAATAATGACAGCTAATGATATCACAATTTCAAGTCATTAATGGCATCCAGCAGAATCGGTGTGATTGCCCTTAAATTACGAATCGTATATCGTTTTCTTCATTTTCTCGGTATACCTAGATATAGATATTTACCCTGAACGACTTGCGTTGGCAATCGTTAAACACTTACCTTTCTAAAATAAAAATAATCCGCTATGGTTCATTCTATTATGTCGCAATAAAATCGCCGATTTTACACTTTGCTGCCGACACACACTCGCGATTCACCCGGACATAATGCCGAATTGCACCAAAGGAAAAGGAAAATCCTCAAAGTCCTCGGTGAAACAACGCGAGACGGTCGCAAATTGCGCGCGTGTTTTTTGAAAAAGCGCCGTTGTCTACGATCCTACGCTCCACAGTTGTTTACCGACAACTGACAATCACCTGTTGAGCGGCGGCCAACTTGTTCTGCGCGGAACCCCACTTAACGCAGGTGAACCTTTTGTTTTTCCGGTGCATATAGCGTTAAAAAATCGACCGTAGTGATGCAGAGCGAATCAACGGTGAGACGGATATTTATACGAATAGAATCGCTATTTATAACACGGGTTAAACAAAGAACATTTGTAGTTGCAAATAAGCTGTGAATGCATTTTGCAAAATCCTGGGGCCACTTTTAATTTCGTCGGTGGCGTAAATGGAAGATTATTGAATATTCCTGTTTCATAGTTTTATTCCTTACTTTTTATTTGTTCTAACCATATTAGTGGCCTAAGAAGGAAAAAATTGATGCGCGATTTTAGACACCAACCTACACTTTGCTTCATTTTCTTTCAAAACAGCGATTTCCACTCACTTAACCTATTTAGATCTGGGCATATTTTGAGAAGCGTACTATATCTACACTGAAACCTGCCAAATTGACGAACTGTCAGCGGCCATATTGGTTGTTGAACGCCGCTAGTTGGTTGGTTTAAAATTACACTTGTTATTAGTTGAAAATGCGATTTAAAATGACCCCGCATGCTCATAACGAATGGCGCTTCCAAAAATTTTTTTTCGTTCCTTCAAAACCGAAAATTTTATTTTGAGAACCTGCAAATAAAAACTGAAGCAGGTTTCTTTGGCGTTTTATATTATCTGATGTGGCAGAGACCATGAAAGTGCCAATACCAACAACACTAACCAAACTTGTTTCTTCGAGATGTAGTTGAATCCTAACCGTAGTATTCTGTGAGCTGAATCAGAGAAGGCCGAATGTTATTTACATTAAATAAGGTGTTATTGGAGAATTTTTAAAGTTAGTAAAAACCCGGTCCTAGTAATGGCGAGTTTCACCAACGAAGCTGAAATGCTGCAAAGCGGGCCGGATTATAATTTAGGCATTCAGATGTCTTTAAGTGAAAGTGCGGATGTTACCCGAAGACGAAGGTTCTCGACTTAGTCGTTTATTCGTTTGTTTTTGTTTATTGACATAATTAATTTTAGCTCAAACAGGTCCATCAAGCGAAAGAAATTTGACGACGAATTGGTGGAATATAGCTTGGGTATGCCTGGTGTCTCCACAATCAAGGTAAAACGGAACTGTTTCCATTTTTAAGGACCTCTGCCAATTATGTTTTATTCATAGAATAGTCGAGCAAGGTCTCAAACATACCAACAAGACTTTGTCCCAGTTGCTTCGCCATCAACCCCATCAGCGCCTCCCACAGTGATTCCAACCGCTCACCCTGTTGAACCAAAGCGCAAGACCATCACAAAACCAATACCCAGTAGTTCAAAAGGGAAAAAAAAGGGCCAGCCAAAAAATCAGTTGACTACCAAGGATTTAGGCCGGTGGAAGCCCATAGATGACCTAGCACTCATTATTGGAGTACAACAGACCAATGACTTAAAAATTGTTCATTTGGGAACAAAATTTTCTTGCAAATTTACACTACAAGAATTACAGACGCGCTGGTATGCTTTGTTATATGACCAGGCAGTCTCTCGGGTGGCAGTTTCAGCAATGAGAAACTTACATCCTGAAATGATCGCGACTGTGCAAGACAAGGCGTTGTGGAGTCAAGAAGAGGAACGGATTTTAAGCAGCATTAAATCCACCGCAAATCCTACTCTAGAAACATTCTCAGACCTTTTGATGAAACACGCAGATATTTTTTACACTGGGAGGACTGCCAGTTCCCTGTACAGACATTGGCAGTCTTTGAGAATGTATCACCTTTTGCCGGATCAAGCTGTTGGCCCAATTCCCACTTCAGGTAGGCCCATAATGACATTTAATGATGCAGAACAGCTCATTCAAGATTCCGAATTGACCGAACCTCCAGATGAAGCTCTAGATAGAGAACTTAAGCTTCAGCAGAGGCGAAATATAAAAGAAATACGACAATTGGAAAATGAAATTGGACGGTGGAATGTTTTAGTGGACAGTGTGACTGGTATGTGTCCGGGTGAACTTGATGGTCAAACTTTAGCAGTCTTGAGAGGCCGCATGGTTCGGTATTTGATGAGAAGTCGTGAAATTACGATCGGCCGTTCAGGAAAAGGCCACACTGTCGACATAGATTTGTCGCTTGAAGGCCCGTCTCACAAGATTTCACGCAGGCAGGCCACTCTAAGATTGCGTAATACCGGCGAGTTTTACGTATCTTCCGAAGGAAAGCGCCCAATATTCGTTGATGGAAAGCCAATATCCGTCGGAAACAAGGTACGGCTTTACGATAATGCCGTGGTGGAAATTGCTTGCCTGCGGTTCATTTTTTCTGTCAATCACGACCTTATCAGAGCCATCCACAACGAATCTGTTAGATACAATATACCTCCATAACATGTTTGTTCCATTTCTTTAAATATAACATAAATCATTTTCAAACTGTATTTTATTTAGATCATTCGACAGAGAACATTGAACTATAGAAAAATAGTTATCATTTATTAATTAGAACCTGTTCCTCCTCTATAGTGCTGCAGAGCAATTTACCAAAAAACTTTGCATGGTTCTAACTTGTAGCTGGTTAACCACAAAACACGGGATGCTCAATCGGTAACTGAAATTTAAACATGGGGACCGAGGATGGCTCGGTTGGTAAGGCATTGACCTGCCCACTCGAACTTGCCGGAGGTTGTGGGTTCGATTCCCATGGGAGCCTTGGGTGTTATTGTGTTTGGCAGACTTTAACAACTGGCAAAAATTGCCTAATTAACAGCTGTCTAGATAAAGACGCGAGCTCACCATATAATAGAAAAAAAAAATTAAACATATGAAAAGGTTTATTCTGTAGGTTCAGTTAAGGGTAATAAATCCATTGTGCCTTCGCATAAGGTTGGTAATCTGGGGACTTCGTTCTGGCGCCTTAAATTAAGTTCGGTGCTTTTAATTTTCCAAGTATTTTGAGAGAAGGGGTCCTTGGCCAAGGTAAACACTTGTTCAAAAACTCCTGCGCATATATTCGATACATGCAGAGTGCCACAAACCAGCACTACTACCAGGCCGTGAGGATCAGTTCGACCATGAACACCCTCATCAGATATATTAGGATTAAAGTGCAAGTTGTGCTTTAGCCGAGTTTGCAGCAACAGACTCGTTACTTCTTGAGGATTGTTTTCCAAAACAGTTGTGTCACATTCATTGTTTGCAAATATATTTACTTTGCATGTTGCATCTGCAAAACTGAAACGTACCAAAATACACATTTAAAGCACTCGTTTTTACCTTCAAACAAGTGCTCAGATCCTAAATCATTCTCGTTTAGCATTGAATAGAACCAATCCGCAAATTGTTGAGCCATTACATTAATATCACCAATACTGACTACCTCTCGCGACGCAACGTCACTGTTATTGTTTTCAGATGAATTCGAGGTGCGAGGAATGTTCCATAATTCCGCTATTCTGTCTATTAGGTCGTTTTTAGTTGTGGGTAGTCGAACTTTTATACCACACTCCTCCAGATAGGAAAATAATATATCGCGCGTCACCGTTCTCCTCCTTAAAATGCTAATTTCATCTGATGAGTATTTGATAATGCACTGAATGGCTTCTAAAACAGGACGGTTTGTTATTTTAAAGCGAAATGGAGGATCCAAACATACAAACCCTCCTTATTTCGACATTTTTTTAGTCCTTGGGTGATGGTTCGTGCCAGTGCGTGTACGTCGTGTGGACTCAGTTTAGATAAAACGGCCACAATTTGCTCTTTCGGATTCATAATTTTATATAAGCTTTCAAATTAAAACGAGGTTATAAATTAACCACAGAAAAAAAAACAGTGGGGCCAACTAAAATTTTATCTCGAAAATATGAAATATGAAGAGGCTAGTGCTCGATTTCCGCAACTGAGGAACTCGGTTTTTTGCATATAGCTATTATATAGTATAGTGGCTTTACTACAGTACAACTGGCACTAACATTTTCTTTCTAAACAGCAATAACTACACACTTAAATAGTTTTCCTAAAACATTTAACTAAATCTAGGCCTATTTTAAGGAAATATGCTGCATCAATATTTATTAACGATATGCCAGCGGCCATGTTGGGCATTGAATCCCGCTAGGCTATTGCTTATAAGCGAGACGTTGCATACGCAAATGGAATGGAATGGCCATTCTCAAAAATTTTTGTCACAGTTCCTTTATAAGTTCCTGCATTATCAGCATAGGCAGGAGTTCTATATTTCTAGTATCAATATGACATTTTATGTTGTGACGTCACAAAAAAGTGCACATTAAATATCGGTAGACACAATTGCAATTTCGACACGTATTTCTGCATATATATAAATATATATATATATATATATATATATATATATATATATATATATATATATATATATATATTGTAGACGCGATTCAAAATATGCTTAATTATTTCTATTTAATTTTATTTTTAAAGGATACCTTTTAAGTTTTAACATTTAAAAAATAAATTTTTGTTTAATGTTAAGTCATTTAGAATTTAACTTCGTTAGCCAGTCGCTTCGGCCGTTTACCATAATTTACTCACAGATTTGGGAGCCATTGCGTGATCTAGGTTAGCTATGGTATTTTGACGCTTGTCAATTCTGACGGCAAGTCACACTCCACATGGTGAATATATTCGTGCTGTTTTGGAAAAATGTATCCAAAAACTAATGGTCATAGAAAAAGTATGACATGAAACACATTGATAAAATTCTTCCATTAATTAAACACTCGCCCCAAATGCAATTGGTTCCTAAAATGAGGTTTATCAAACTTGTTGCTTAATATACTATAAATCTTCCTGGTTAAATTGCAAGGCCTATGGTCCTCTGAAAAGAATTGTAGATTGGTTAGTTGTAATATTCTGTCTAGAAGGCACAACAGGCTTGAATATTATTACAACAATTTTTTCTGTCCAATATTTAATACCCCATAGTTTTGAAAAAGTTTAACTGGTTTTAAGTAGTTATATTACATATATATATATATATATATATATATATATATATATATATATATATACAGGGTTTTTCACTTAAAACTCCGCACGCCAATAAGTCCAAAACGAAAAGAAATATTTAATTTATGTAAAAAGTAGTCAAAGTGTTTGGTCAAGTAGATATTTCCTAAAGTTTAAAAAATTCGACGCCTGCAAAGAGCTGCGCGTGGCGACGCGTCGAAAAATTATTCGATTGCAGAGACTTTGGAAATACGCGCATACAAAAGTACATATTATTTAAAAACTTTTTTGTTATTTACTCAAACTTATTTACTTTACCCGTTTCTAAGATTAACGCTTATTTTTACAAGTATGCCATGAATGTTAGTTACTATGGCAACCATTGTTATTAATGGACCGGTAAGGTGGCCGGCGAGGTCCCCGGACATTACACCACCAGAGTATTTTCTTTGGGGATAAGTAAAAAACGTTATCTATGAAGAACCTATCGAAGATATGGCTGATCTCATTAACAAAATTAGTGCAGCGTGTGCCGCTATCACAAGAAGGGCTCTCCTACAAGTGACCCAAGCTCATCTGTTAAAAGTTTTTGATAGTTGTGTTGGAGCAGATGGACATAATTTTGAACAAAATTTTTGAAATGTCTTATTATGTAGTTAATTGCAATAACAATTTTGGTTATTAACTTGTAGGTATTTTACTGTTTTTTCATTTATCTATCATGTTATCAGAACTAAATCGATAAAAAATAATAAATAAAATCATACTAAAATAGTTGAAATCTATTGTTTGTAATTGCACTTAAAACAACTGCGATAACAATGGTTGCCATAGTAACTAACATTCATGGCATACTTGTAAAAATAAGCATTCATCATATTTTTTATTAATCAAAAAAATGTTTACTTTAAATCGGTATAACTTAGAAACGGGTAAAGTAAATAAGTTTGAGTAAATAACAAAAAAGTTTTTAAATAATATGTGCTTTTGTATGCGTGTATTTCCAAAGTCTCTGCAATCGAATAATTTTTCGACGCGTCGCGACGCCCAGCTCTTTGCAGGCGTCGAATTTTTTAAACTTTAGGAAATATCTACTTGACCCCACACTTTGACTACTTTTTACATAAATTAAATATTTCTTTTCGTTTTGGACTTATTGGCGTGCGGAGTTTTAAGTGAAAAACCCTATATGTATATATGTATATATATATATATATATATATATATATATATATATATATATATATATATATATATATATATATATATATATATATATATATATATATATATATATATATATATTTATTTATTTATTTATACTTTTAATTGATATCTTTGATAATATGTACTATACTTAAATTTTTTAGTAAGGTTAAACCTGTAAGTTTCCACCAATTTTCACGCACAAATTCCGAATTAGTTTCTACGTAAAAATAAATAGTTGCTAATTTTATCTGTTACTGTTATTTGATATAGTCAGTTCCAACATTTTTATGAAAAAATACATGTAGATAATAATAGTAAACTTAGGAAGGTTTATTTAAAATGCCCCAGGGTTGTTATGTTGGTAACAAGAAGGGACAGGACAGAATCTGGGTACCTTTGTAAAAAAAGTGATTTGGTTAGTAAACTTTTATTCCGTTAAAAAAATCACTTATTCGATATAAACTGTATCTTTCTACTCAGTCTATTTGTTATATAAGCGGGATAATACAAATTCAGAACCACCTTGGCTTCTCGTATCATATGCTCGACGTTTTGCAAAAACGCCCTGAAAAATTGAAATATCAGGTATGAAGAAAGTGCCGGATACCAACTCACTTCAAATTAGTGCAGTTCTTGGGGTGTCCGCTCTGCAGACAATGCAATATGGCCAACGCGGCTTCGTAAAGTTTCGTCCCGATGCCTCGAGAATTCGCGCCTCTCCTCGCCTTTTCATTCTCCAACCACGCGTGAAAATACTTGAACATATTCTCCGCGTCGCCTATCTCCACATAATAACTGTACAACCGGTAATAGACTTCCTCAAAGTCTTTGTGATGCTTGTAAAGAATTTTCTCCCTGATTTTAAGACTTTTTATCAACAATTCGAGCTGATTTGTATCGCTGCTCTCCAGGTACTTTCTGGCCTCTTCATTGATTTTCCTGAAGGGCCTCAGCGAGTACTCGTCGCCGCAATTAACACAAAAACTAAAGAACGTGTTTGGTATCTCGGGCACGAGACCTTTGCATTTGGGACACAGGTAGCTGTCCAACATGTCCTGGAATTGAACAAAGTGAAATGCCGACAGTCAACCTTAAAATTTCTTACCACTTCCTTGGACTGGTCACTGCAAATCACACATTTACACTCGAAATGATACAAACTGCGGCAAGCGATTTGTCGCTGCTCCCGATTCATCCCCCTGTAGTCGATCCCATAACAATTGAAAACTTCATCGTTTTCTCTGATATCTTCTAACGCTTTTACCACCATCGTATCACAGATGAAACTAAAAATGGAAGTTAATTTCGTAGCAAAGAACACAAAATCCTTTCCCTATATTATGCAAACGGTACTTACATCTCACTACTAGATATATAGAGACTCTGTCTATAATGATAATACAGGAACTTTTGAGCGACAATAAAAAAATATATACTGAGAAGGACCATTTAATATGAGCATCCACGGTCACTTTAAATCTCGCTTTCAACTAACAAGTAACGAGACCTAGCGGCGTTCCACAGCTAACATGGCCGCTGACAGTTTGTCAATACGCACCATATTTCGAGGTTAGGTTAATCGATGTAATTAAACAAACAAAATATTTCATTTAGTTACAATTGGTGTTTTTGCCTTATATTTTAAAAACAGGCCCTTGATCAGGCAGTTATCTAACATAACCCGATTGTATAACGTTATATAGTAATATTTTTTCTACTCCTTTCTGTAAAATACCTAATTTTACACGGATCTAGGGTGCGAGAAACGGAGATTTTGCCATACGCCTTGTGTATGTATGTGTGTTGTTTTGCGAGAATGTACCCACAAACCAGCGGTCGTAGAAAATAATATATTATACAAGTATTACAAAGTGTACCGAACGTGTTGCATACTATACTTTTTCTGCAACTTATACGCCGATCTAGAGTGCGGAAAGCGTCATTTTACCACTTCACTTTCGTTTCCCATGGGTCCGAGCCACTTCTGCATTTTACCACGTGAGTTTCTTGCCCCAGGGATCCGAGCCACTTCGAAAATTATATTTCCGGGATATTATCCCTTGATGTTTTCGGAGATATTACCACATTGCGTAGTATAGTACGCAACACGTTTTTAAGTCCCTTGTTTATTCAGCACTCTCTCCGCTCATACCCAATAAACTCGTGACTCAAATTCCGTTTACCAAAGTTCTTCCCACTTAAACGATAATGCTACAGTGTTGAGCACCAGACTGTAAGCATTGTGGTGTCAGGAAAAAATGCACATCGATTTCCAAACAAGGAAATTGTATATAAAAATTTATTTGGTATTTTTAAATTGTTTTTTTTTTTCATTTCATCGCAGAAGGGTAGAATCGGGACCTGGAGCTTTTTTTTTGTAACTTTCATTTTGTAGATAAAAAAAAGAAAATATACCAACTACTTTCGAACACAATGAAGGAAAAAAGTTTTCGTTGGAATATCCTGAAAAGGGGAGACCACCTTGAGAAAAACAAGGTCCTGTTCATGATACAGGCGATCCAGGTTCAGAATCGAGTTAAAAGCACATAATGTAGACTTGGAAACTGAACCACGGCCATCTACATCTAAAAAAACACGCTTTGATGACACTGAAATAATATTTAGCGTTAATTAACTTTTATATCTTTTATATTGTTATACATAATAAATTATTAAACAAATGTAGCGTGAACTATTATTTTCACATAAAATTGGCTTTGATTGCTTTTTACTTCACTTTGTAACACTTTTATCATTTTAAAAACACTTCTAAAATGTTTACGTAGACACGAATCCAAAACACAACGCAAAATGGCAGAGAAGCGGGGTTTGTCATACAATCAAATTATGACGTCACACTAAGGAAGTGTGGAAGCTGAAATGAAGCATTTTTAGGGCTCTATTTTCTCAAAATATGCCCAGATCTCGTTAAATGTTCTGGGAAAAAGTATGGTATTTAGAATGAAAATGGCACAAAGTGCAGTGTGGTGGGTGGAATTTCTAGGAAAATCTTTACCACACTAGGGCCACTATATTATCTAATAGTCATATGGGTATTTTACATAAGGTTTCCCATGACACAGAATGTAAAATTTTAACTTACAAGTTTGTAACGTTGGGCCGGCACGAGTGATTCATTATACTAACGGAGGGGAATATTCCACATGCCGTGGTTATCAATATGTCGGGAAACAGCACATCGGTGGAAGAGTATGTCCAGTGTTCAATGATGCTCGAATTGCAAGACAACTGGGCTATGTGTTTAGTAATAAGTCCGCCCACATATTTGATGAGGTTGTTAAAGTCATCCTTGGGACAATTTTGCTGCTTGAGGAACCAAGTGAAAAAGTCTGTGTACTTTTTTAAATAGGTGACCACAATGGCTGCCATCTGGAAAAGACCAAAAGGTTCTCCTCTCAACTGCCGAAAATGGTTGGGTTGCGGTAAATAAGTTAAAAAAAAAACTTACCACTATGTAAGGAGCAGCGTTCTTGCTCTTATAAATATTGGAAACTAGGCGATTAAAATAAGGGTAATTGTCAATTTTATCTCCAAAATGCTTCAGGTCTTCTTCATATCCTCCCTTGACGTTTTTAAACCCAGATTTGACCCCTTTGAGGACAGCTTTGAAAGCGGGAAAGCCGATTCCCAAATCGTACCATATATTGGCCCGCATGCCTTCGCATTCCCATTTATGACCATCGTTCCAAGATGACAACCGACATTTTTCATTGCAATAAACACACAACGTACATTGTCGACATCTACACATTGACATCATCCATGGAAAGCAAAACAAGAGGAATAGTTTACTTACGGTATGCTGCTGATTATATCTTTCAAGCAATTGTAACATTTAAAGGAATAAAACTGTTTGTTGTTTTCCTTAAACACTGGCGCGAAAATGAAGGCTTTTTCTATAAATAAGACATCACCTTTCCGTATATTTTTTTTCGCGATTACATGTCGCCCTCTAGCTTTATCATAACTGGAAGGAGAAATTCAACAATACCTATTTGCCACAAAATAGAGAAATTTTCCTGAAAGTTACAAAAAATTCACACAAACCTCATCTTAAGCTTACTAGATGCAGAAGAGAAGTGTTCATTTTCCCCTTCATCAAATTCTGGCAAATCATTTGAGCATTCCCTGTAACTTTCTATGAGTTTCATTTTAATTTTGGCTTTTCCGATCTGTTCTAATTTTGAACGGTGCTTATCTGCAATACACTGTTGCTATTTGAAAAGTTAATTTTATTGTCTATGGTACCTGACCTCTATCTGGAACATTTTCTGCAGACAGAAATTTTAACGCTTCCATTATGCACTTGTCCAAATTTTCTTTCTGACCAATTTCAAAATAGCAATCTGCCTTTCTCAGAAATATTTTTGGTTTAAGATCTCTCGGGTAATTGGTATTGAAGCACAAGTCGATGTCTCTCAAACAGTTCTGTAAATGACAAAATAAAAGATTATAAACTGAGGGATTGAATAGCTTTGAAGATTGATGATCCACAGGATTCTATCCTTGGGTCACCTCCTTTTATGGTTTTTACATATAATTTCTTTCATCACAAAGCTATCATATGTAAGCAGATGACCATCAAATTTCTCCCACATTTTTAATTGTATAGGTAAATGTAGACTTGCAAAATATATCAGCCAAGCTATTTTATTTTCACATTACATTCACATGTGAATAGAATATGTCAAAAACCATATTACAAATTAAAAATAATTTATGAATTTGAAAATCATCATCCAGATTGTATGTATCCAATATGTTGTGTCTCTCTATCCCTTTAGGTGATGTTATTTTGTGTTTGGGATTGTAAATTTTGTTAAACCAGTAGTTATTAAAATACTCTTAGGGTTACTCTCCACATTTTCATGTAATACTTTGTTCTATTTTTCATGACAAAATCACCCTACCTCATATTCCTTCATTTCAAAGGAAACAGCAGATCTATTTGCCAATGCTAGCCCATACTCCCGACCATTAGGAGTGGCACAACATAAACTTTTGGTGTAAAACTCTAGACTTTTCACCAGATCTTTACGGGCATAATGTTTGTTACCCTCTTGCCTGTAAAAAGTTGATAACTGGTCATCTTTCTCGACTTTGTTTTTAAATTGGCTTTCCAGCCAGGAATCTACAGGGGATCTAAAAATAACATCTTAATTGGACTGTCTTAGGAACAGGTCTACCCCTTACAAATCAAGGTTGTAAAACTTTGTAAATACTTCGAATATATTCCCGTCGATTTTCGTAAATTTCTCAGTGTAATACGCTAACAAGCAATCCATTTCTTTTGTATCAATGCTACAAATTTCAAGGATGTTATTTCAATTGCTGTGAGAATAAAAATTATGAAATGTCGAATAACCTATGTGCAACTGAAACATGTTTTCTTTTATTTGGTACTCAAACAATTTTCAAAACGTTTAGAACCCTACCAAATAATTATTCCGAAATAGGTTAGACGAACGATGGACGTAACCAAATGACAATCAGGTCGAATGACAGATGTTTATTTGAACTACAATTCTAAAAAAATATACACTGCTGTGCTGTGTAACAGGCTCGAATTCAAATTTCCTGCCTTTAACTTTATCTTAAATCCCAATCAAGATATCTATCAACCACAATTACAATCTTAATCCTTCTAATCTGAAATAGTGGTAAGAGCGCCAAACAATTACCGGTGTGAATAGCAAATAGCTAACTACAAAAACTGCCAACACGTTTTGACGCTTTGAAACTGATATGAGTACCAATAATACCTTCTTATTATTTTGGAAAGTCAGAAACGGTAGACGTTTATATGAAGGTTTCGGTTTGGTGTTAGAGTCTTGAGCTAGATTTTGAACCGCTTGAGAAAGCCGTGTACCTTTTACTGTCTAGTCGGATATTAGTTACGCCCACATATGGAAACATGCGAATGTAGCATAACGCCGAATAATTACGTAATCGTGACTGGGTATGTATTGGAGAATTTATTGAATAACATTTTAAAATATCTAACTTTTCAACAAAAACAAGAAATGCAGCTAGCACCATCTATCGGTCAATCCCGTAAGAAAAAATGATATTCAGTATGCTACGATAGTCTGTGCTTCTCACCAACTTGACGGGCTATGATTTAAATCAATGTCGCTTGCTTGAATGTAACCAATCAGCTTTTTTTTTACGAAACCAACTTCTTTGTTTATCCTAGCGATTACAGAATCAGTTTCGTCCAATGGATCATTCTCACGATTGTTTAACGCTTAATAAAATATTATATTAATAAAAAAGAATCTCGAAAAATATTTTGAAGGGAAAAATTGATGAAGGGAGTGACTTTCCGTGCAGGCTTTTAAATTTCTGTCGTAAAAGTGCTGCGTCCAAACTTATTGATGTTTGTTGAATACAGAAAGGCCATTGGTAAAAAACGAGATTCGAAATATCGCTCATGCGCATGTTGAATGGACTTCCTCATTTTTTTTTATAGTTGCTTCATAACTTCTTGTGTTATCAGTATAAGGGCCTCTCTATCTCTGGTAGCTATATGATGTATGTGAAACTTTTTATTCGTTTTCCAAATCAAAAAATCTGACACTAACTCTCGCACGGTGCGATTGCACTGCGATTTACAGTTTGCGGAATGCCTAATCGCAGAAAGCATTAATTTATTTTCCTAAACTAAAAATAAAAACAGCGTTGCCAGTGCTCACTGGCGTCAATCCGATCATATAGTTATCAGTATATTCGACCTAAAAATACTGATTGTTCGGTACTGTCCTTGGTCAGTTGTAGAGTATAGTTGCATTATGGATAATAGATTTCCAATTATTCCAAATCTGAATTTTAATTTGAAAGCTATTTTCAATGCACACGCATTGCAATATTGCAACGCTGAGATTTGGTTCACGGATCAATCTCGTGACAAGCAGGGAAACCAAGTTCTAAAAATGTACATGTATTTTTTAGTGGTTAGACCAAACGGAAACAAATTGGGCCGTAGCTCATAGTATTTCATATTTTTTTATAACTTTCACGATATCGTTGCGATATGAACGGAAAATCGCATTGCAATCGCGCCGCCTGAAAAAGCCCCAGTCAGAAATTAACGGTTGTCCTTCAGCTGACCTCAAACTCGACCGTTCGACACAATCCGCACGTATACCCACAATATATTAAGGGTTTATATAGTAGCCTGATCCACTTCGACACAATATTCTCCACCGGTCCCAAGATTTGTTACAAAAAAGCTGCGTCCTGGTTAGAAAATATACCTACCTAGAAAACATATTGTGTTTCATTTGTTGAGAATAGTTTACAAAATTCAGGTAAATTTGTAAGGAATAAACAGGAGTCACCCCAATGTCCTCAGCTGTGGAAATATATATTTTTTTAAATACTGGTGTTACGATATGTGCATTTAAAAGCAACCCCCCCTTTCTAAACTCACCAAAACTAATGTCGGTGTCTGGAGTTCGATTTTCATAAAAAAAACAAAGATTAAAAGGGTGTTTTTTGAAAATGTGCATTTTCAAAAAAACGCTTTAACGTTTTTGTTATGGGAAATTTTTACACAGAATTTAATGGCTACAATATAATTCTTTTAAAACTAATATTCTGTTAAAGGCCACTTTGTTTGGAGTAATAAAAATTTTGTATTTAGAGATGCAAGAGTGCAAGTTAATTTCAATTTGTTTTAAGTTATTCAAGTTATTCAAAAGTATACAAGGGATAAACAGAAGCCTCCCAAACGTCCTCGGCTGTAGAAATAATTTAATAATTAATTAAGTTAATTTAATTTAATCATCAGAAAAGCGCCAAGTAACTATAACAGGGAATCCCAGTTCCGACACAATATGTTTACCTCACTTATCTCTATAAAGATAAAAACAAATAGCTATTTTTGTAAAATTAGACCTTGTGCGGTCTTTCGTTTGTACTCCTAAAAAAATGTTTGTACTCCTTCCTACCTAGATATGTAGGCAGCTTTTTGTTCTTTCTGTTAATAATTGAATGAATAAACAAAATCAGAATATGCATTAAAATGCTTACGTTGCGCTTTCATAATTAAATCATGTGTTTCAAAAGCTACTTCCTTCTATCTCAGACTATAAACGTTAAAATTAATAAACGATAATTAAATTTTATATTTCTGCAGTCAATGGCCCCCAGACGCATATAATACATCGGGAACCCACATCCCATGAACGGGTAACAAGTCGATTCCAGCGCCGACTAGAGCGTTCGTCGAGACGTCCTTGAATCTTCGCGAAAGTTCGGAGACAGTATAAATAGTGAGCCTGCCGGCGCCCTCGGCAATAACGCGACATAACAGCAACGAGTGAAAGTAATTAACCGAGCGAAAAGAAAATGTCTCTATTACCGTTGTTGTTCGACGAACCTCCATATTCCTCGTACTGGTTACGCCCATCGAGGATTCTGGACCAACATTTCGGACTCGGGCTGGACTCTGACGATCTCTTGCAGCCTCTTAACTTGAACAACAGGATCCTCAGTCGGACACCGGCCGGCTACTTGAGAAACTGGCGTCCTAACGCGTCAGAGAAGGACTCTGGTTCTTTAGTCAGCTTCGATAAGGATAAGTTCCAGGCAAATCTCGACGTTTCGCAGTTTAAACCGGAAGAAATTTCCGTGAAAGTCGCAGACAACGTGCTGACCATCGAAGGGAAACACGAAGAAAAACAGGATGAGCATGGATACATTTCCAGGCATTTTGTAAGGAGGTATGTCTTGCCGAAGAATTACGACGTCGAGAAGATTCAATCGAAGCTGTCTTCTGATGGGGTGTTGTCCATCACGGCCCCACCGGTTCAAAGCAGCGAAGTCGAACACAAGAATATTCCCATCACCCAAACCGGCGAGCCCGCAAAGCAGATCGAACAGAAGAAACAGTAAATTTTCTGCGTTTTTTTTTTCATTTCAATTTTCGTTTTGGTAATGTGAGCCAGTAACTGCATTTTTTTGTAATTAGGTCTTCCCAGTATGTTGGGAAGTTTTGTGTTAATGTAATAAAATAAAAATAAAAAGGAAACCGAATTTTACTTTTTTTCCGTTGACCCATAAATGGTTTTTCAATGTCTCGTGCAGCTTGAAAAAAAAACGTTATAGGAGATATTTGGAAAAGGAACTGAAAAAATCTAGTTAAATTAAAATAATCCCATTTTGCATGGGCAAGTAAAAAATGTCTATAAAAACTAGTAGCTGCTCAAGTGTTTTTTAGTACATTATTATTTGTTGGCAAGTCAAGTCAAAATCAACTCTTAAAATATTCACCAGAGGGTAAGGAAAAGGAAGTATTTTTCTTATTATGATACTTAAAATGCATATTTTGTATGCTGTTAATTAATGTTGCAGTTGGGAGATGAGGCAATTGATCAGTTGTTTTCGTAGAGTTTAACTTTTGGTCGAAATCTACAATGACATGAAGTGAAAGTGAGGGTTGCTTTTTTATTCCATTAAATTAAATCAGGTTAGGATACCCAAAAATGTTTTCACAATATCCATTTTTTTTAATATAGCCCACATTGACAATTTAAATTATATAGGTTATTCGAAAATTTTCTGAATAATTATTAACAGTTAAGCCCGTATAATTTCTGCATGTATTTTTAACTGGCAATTTTTTGATAAACAGGATGCCATTTTTTTCGTGGAAAATGGACTTGATTATTTTGGTAGAATTTTGTTTTTAAAGGTTCTTGTTTAAATTTGTATAATTATAAACGATACTTTTTAGCATTTGTGGGTATTAAATGGCCCAACAATGCAAAAATGTTTTTACCACGTATAGAATAAATTATGGGCGTATATGGCAAATCCATCATTCCAATACTAGAAACGAGAGAAATGAGGATATATGTTTGAAATGTTAAATAAAACCCAATTATACTAATTATATTAATTTATGCAATCTTTAAAACTAATTTCTGTGCAATTGTATTACATTTAGGGCTAATTTAGGTTACATATTTTTACAGTTACTGTTCTTTAAAACAAATTGTTTATTGACTTGTTTTATAATAGGTTTTAATTTTCTTCGTTATATTTTGCAAAACCTACAGTTACTAAACAAATTGTACATTGGCATTTTTTATAATCATGTTTGGAAGCAAAACGTTCATCAATAATTACTTGTGATGAAGCAATAAGCTGAGGAGGATTCTACAGTTGCTTCTGAACATTTTTTTTACTTCGATTTTTCGCGTGGGATATTTAATTTTCCATATAGTGTTATTTGCACTTTTAAGAGTCATCATCGTTGGTGATTTTACGTTGATTTACATTTTTCATAGAGGTTAGTTAAAGTTATGTTGCACAAATTTGATTAAAAATGCCTGGTATTTATATCTGCTACATTTCTTGCAATTTGGTAGTAAACATGTTGCAATATTTAAACGAAAAAATACTTATAGAAATTACAGAAACTTCAACTAAGGTTCACTAAAAAAATAAAAGTTTTGTCCCCACTTCGTCTCTTTTATATCTTACACTTTTTATTATTTCAAAATCCTTACGTGATTTAAATTTTTTTAAGGAATCTCAAATAGTTTCTAAGGGCGAAAAAGAAAATGAAAATCTCATAAAATTGGCAGCACTATACGTTAATTGTTTATTCGAATAAAAAAAGTCCTTTTAGTTTAAGAAGATTTATTCAAAATTTAAAGGAAAATCTACAATTCAAAACAATCTAGCGGTAACTTACAAACAAAACAGTCTTACAAAAATACATTAAGTAAATAAATACTGAAAAACAACAGATTTACTTCTTTTGCTCAATCTGTTTAGCGGGTTCCCCTGTTTGTGTAATCGGAATGCTCTTGTGCTCAACATCTGTACTTTCAACATTCGGAGCCGTAATGGTTAATATTCCATCAGATGACAGCTTGGACTCAATCTTCTCCATATTGCAATTCTTAGGCAACACATACCTCCTCACAAAATGTCTCGATATGTATCCATGCTCGTCTTTCTGCTCTTCGTGTTTGCCTTCAATTGTTAGCACATTGTCTCCAGTGACTTTCACGGAAATCTCCTCTGGCTTAAATTGCTGCACATCCAAATTAGCTTGAAATTTGTCCTTGTCAAAGCTCACAGTTGAACCGGAGTCTTTACCGGAAGATGCTGTGCGCCAGCTTCTCAAGTAGCCCGCTGGAGTCCTTGTTAGTTGTTTATTGTTGAGATTCAATGGCTGGAATAAATCTTCCGGATCCAAACCAAGCCCAAAGTGCTGATCCAAAATTCTGGAAGGCCGAGCAGAAACCAGTACGGTATCAAATGGATCGGCGAGCAACCACGGTAAAAGAGCCATGTTGAACTTTGAAAATACTCTCACGTTTACCACTAAATGCACACTTTGCTGTCTAATTCTTTTGTTGTTGATTCCTGGGGTTGCTCGGCATTTTATACAGACATAGAACAGTATGGAGTGTTCTAGACGGTTTTGAATACTGTTCGTTGAATGTTGGCCTGGTTAAGCAGTTTGTATCAACTAGTTTCCCACTTACTCTCGCCTTAAATATGCATTTTTACACAAGAAAATCAGCGATTAGGTACAGTTATGAAATTTAGCACGATAATTCGGCTGTAATCCGAGAAAGTGGGAAAAAATTACGGGGTGGAACAAATAAGAACCGCCAAAAGACGCGATAATGTCAAATATTTTGTAATAATTGTGTGACTCGGTGCAGTTCGACAATTTTTATTCGCTTAATACAAACTAGATTACTTGCAAAATGTTAGGAGGATAATTGGAAGTAGGGTAGGAGGGAGATTACTATTAAGATCTTCCTTCCACTCGATGAGAATAACGTGCGCGTTTTGCCATTGTATATTTTATTTGATCGAGTATAGTTTTAGTGATTTAACAACAAAGTTGCAATCTTTCCGGAGTCTGTGCATGAATACCTTTCTTTCCCGTAAAGTATTGGAAATTAGCAGAGCATTGCTAATAACAATGTTTATCAAACAGTTGTTTCAGCCCCATGAAACTCTAAAATAATTTTCATCAAATACAACAAAAACTTCACAAAAGTGATTGTCCTTTATGTACACAAATGGAAACATTTCTTTATGCTTTTATTATTATTTTGAAATAAATGACTTTTAAATACACCAAAAAAAAATTAACTCATGGGGCAACATTCTTGGAACGGGCAACCAATCTCGAATATGAGCGAACTTTCAGGATTTGACAGAACAATTCTCGATAATTCCATTGGTTTATAAAAGCGACATCGGTGAGCCGGCCGGCAGTTTGAATTTTGGAAGCGCGAGAAGCATAGATTAAGCGAATTTGCGAATTAGAAAGGAAGGAATTGGAAAATGGCTTTGTTACCGTTGTTATTTGATCACGATCCCTTTTGTCGCAAAATATCCAGATTGTCGAGTTTTATTGAACCAGAGGATATATATCAGTTAGTGGTCCCAACTTCGCTTTCAACAAATTTGAAGGAAGTTCAAGAACATCTTTCCCAGTTACAGAAAGACACTTCGATAACTGTCGACAAAGACACTTTTTCGGTCAGCGTGGATGTGCAACAATTTAAACCAGAGGAATTGTCTGTTAAAGTAACAGATGATAATTCTATTACTGTGGAAGGAAAACATGAAGAAAGACAGGATGAACATGGATATATTTCCAGGCATTTTGTTAGAAAGTATAAATTGCCCGAAGACTGCGACATAAAACAGCTACGGTCTAGATTGTCCTCTGATGGAGTTCTCAGCATAACTGCCCCGAAGAAAGAAGGAAAACGCCTGGAGTACAAAGAAATCCCCATCATCAAGACGGGTAAACCTGCGGCTAGCGTTAAAAGGTTGCAGAATGTTAGTCCTGGCGATAGAAAAAATAAGAAACCTCGCAAAGATAGAAATAAAATTTAATATGAACTGATTGAAGTATCTTAGGTTATGTCCATTATTATTTTGTATTATTTTTGTAATACCAACATTTTGTCAATAAATAGTTTAAAAAATATATATTGTTTTTTTATGTAAACAAATATAATGGAAGTGAAATTAAAGAACTTTTCCTCAGCGTTGTTTAATTTAGGTTATATGAAAATAATGACAATAAGTATTACATTTGGCACAAAAAACAATCATCAAGTTAAAGTGAGTTTATTGATTAGATGGTTACAATACACATGAAAACATTTATTTTAAGCATTGAATACAAAAAGAAAGCAGTTTCTACAGATTAACACATTAAGTAAAAAAATGTTGGAATGTAAGAGGTTTTACAGCTTAGCTTTCTTGGCATCATTTTCTACTGGAGTCTGTTCAATCCTTTTAGCTGGTTCCCCAGTCCTAATGATGGGAATTTCCTTGTATTCAACCTGCTTTGCTTCTTGCTTTTTCGGCGCTGTGATACTTAGAACTCCATCGGAGGACAGTTTTGACTTGAGCTTTTTCAAATCTGTTCCCTCTGGCAAGACATACTTCCTTACAAAATGTCTAGATATAAAACCATGATCATCTTGTCTCTCCTCGTGTTTGCCTTCTACGGTCACAGTATTGTCGTCTGACAGCTTCACCGAGACTTCTTCAGGTTTGAACTGTTGAATGTCAACGCGAGCTTGAAAATGATCCTTTTCGTGGGAAATTGTGGTATTTTTGTCGCCATGGCTTTTAAGGTGCCCGTGGATGCCATGATGCGGCCGCCTGTGTTGCAAAAGGGCGGCGAGTGGCAGCAAATCCTCTAAGTCAGGATCAGAGAAAGTAGCCCATTTTGCGGAACGCCGGTAAGGGCACTCGTCGACCAAAAACGGGAGCAGAGACATTTTCCTTTCTTCGTGAATCTAATTTTACACTTAATTCTTCGTAGTGACTATAGCCACAGAAAACTACAAACACGTACGCAATCTAAACCACTTCTGCAGCGGCTACCACCCAGAAAACCCTTTTATGCAGTTATGCACAGATCGAAATTAACGACGACAGGTGGCGCCGTAATTCCAGAGCGTTCCAGAAATTTCCGTTGTCCGTTGAGTGTTGACCCTTGGGTTTCACAATTTTTTGATTGGGAATAGTTTTTTAAAAATGCATTATTCAAATTTATTTTAGGAAGCAAGTAACAACATTTGACATAATGGTATGGAGATATTAAGATATTCTAAAATTAAAATTTATTTTGGCTATGCCACAGACCAATAAACATTCTATGCTAAAATTATTCGCCGTGGTGAACTACTCTGTTGTTAATGCAATAGCTGATCGCAAATTTATTTGGGGAATAAGTAGCAAAACACCAAGTATAAACAACTCGAAAAAATATTGTGACAAAGGCCTCATTAAGCATGATTATGGAATTTTGCTGGGATTTTGAATTCTATATTATACATACCTTATTTCTTTTGGAAATGTACCAAAGCACTAATTACATAAATTGGCAATAAACCGGAATCAAAGGTTTTTTCTTTTTTTATGTACAAACATATCTTCTGTTTAAAAGGAAAAGCTTTTCTTTAGATAAATACTTTACCTCCAATTAAATAAAAGTCTGGTTATACTCCAAGCATCAACCTTAACTACAAAGGATAATGAGTACAAAATAAATAGCACCCTTAAGTATCTTTTATTGGGAAATCAAACAATAACTTATAGCTAAATTATATTATAATAACTTTATTTCTTCTTGGACTTGTTCTTCATTCGTTTACTTTTGCCTGGTCTGTTTTTCATAACTTTGTTTTTAGGTTTTCCTTTATTTGCTGGCTTTTGTCTTTTGTATTCACTGATATCACCGGCACTCTCCTTGGTGTTTATTTTTAATCCCCTCTTTTTACCGCCAAATCCAAATTTTTGGTCTTTAAATTTGCGTTTTTCTAGTGCTTTCCTGGATATAGAGTTGCCTTTCTTACTCTCCAAGAAATCCAGACCCTTTGACACACCTTTTCGGTACTTTTTAACTTGATCCATCATCTCCTTTTTTTCTTGTTGCCTTTGCAACTTGGTTTGTATCTGCAGCATTTTTCCTTCTTTCCTTTGTTGACGCAGGTGCTTAACCCTCTCACTCCTTTGCTGCTGTTGTTGTTTCTGCATAAGATGTTCCCTTATTTTTTGCATATGAATGTCAGTTTTCGCCATCTCCACAAAATAATCATCAGGTCTCTTCGTTGGTATTCCCAGAGCGTTCAACTTCGGAATCGCCTCACACACAGCAGCTTGAGCTTGACGATAAAACATGGTCTCCCTTTTAAAATCATTGAGAACTGGATCTTCACTTGGACTATATTGCTTCAGTTTTTTGTTGTTTTTAAGTTGATTTTGTCTTTTGTTTTCTTGGTCAAAAATTTTAACTGCAAGTTCGGGGGCTAACGGTGCCTGAGAATTAACGCAATCTAATCTTTCTAGCCAGGGTAACTTTAACTTGATTTCTTTAAGTTTTTGTTTCAGTCCTTTCACGTCATTTACAAAGGTTTTCGGAGCTTTTTCAATTTTGTTTAGACCCGGCTTTAAAATGCCTCGTGCAAAGCTCTCCTGTAATTCCAAGTCACTAATACTAAGTTCTGAATCACTCATATTTACTGATCCCAAATGGTGTTTAAATTTAAAAACATATTACACACGTTGTTTTGAGGTTACGTTCATTTTTCTTGTTTGTTAATTTCCTTGCCAGTTGCCATATGTGGCAATCACTCCAGTAGCACAGAATAGAGAGAGAGAAAGTGCTATTCGTTCTCGGCTCGGTACAACTGATTTGGTCATTCGCCCATTTCTCGGCGCGTTATGTTAACGAAATAAAAAACAGTCAATTAAAGCTATCATATTCAGAAGAATCAAGTAGTTCCACTCAGAAGCTAAGTACTGAAAACCGCCCACAAGGTTAGCCTATAAGCGAATGCCACAAGCGTGCAACAATTTTCCTATAAGGCGTGCAATAGATTCTAGGTTAGCTGGATGAAACAAAAGAGAATGTATATGGACAGGGATTCCGACTCTCAGTAAGCTCTCATAAAAATATTCACTCAAGTTCATATGGAGGGTGCAATCAAATAAAATGTGCTGTAACTCTCCTACCTCTCCACACTGGCACAAATTGTTAGGTCTCACTGTTATTCGATGTAAATGGACCGGGCTGCAACAATGTTTGCTTCTCAAACTACTCAAACTAGATATGATTTCTTTCCATTTCGATATCCAAGATTTCCAAATAGTATGCTTAACATACGGATAAAATTCTTTATAACATAACTTGATGTTCTGGAGTGGTAAATTCACCGCGTCTTTGGCTATTGCACGCGTTGCCTCGTTTCAGATAATGACTAGGAACCCAACCAAAGTTGACTTGATGTCCCCGAATATCTCTAAGAAGAAATTTTACTCTAGTATCCAGAGCTAAACGATTTGATCATGCAGAAATTGAGTGCTCGAAATGCACCGTAGGGCGCTCTTAGAAATGAAATGGTTTATTATCATTAGCATATATGCTATTACGCACAACCATTACTAAAACTACGCTTCGTAGTAATGATAGTAAATTACATTTATATAAAAGCAAAAGCTAATTCGCACTAATATTAATATTAATATAAGAATCTTTTTTCTACTCCCGTCTGTAAAATACCTAATTACACACCGATCTAGCGTGTGGGAAGCGTCACTTTACCACCTCAGTTTTGTTTCCCACGGTTCGGAGCCAGTTCGGACATTTCCGGGATTTTACCGCACGGGTTTGGGAGCAATCGGATGTGTTCGGAGATATTTCCCACGGCTTTAATTGTGACGTTTGTCAGTTCTGACGGTCATGCGTGTTGTTTTGCGAAAATGTACCTAAAAACTAACGGTCGTAGAAAAAGTATAGTATGCAACATGTTCGGTAAACTTTTTAAATCGCTCGTTTATTAAACACTCGCTCCGCTCGTGTCAAATAAACTCGTGAGTCAAATGCCGTTTACCGCACTTGTTACATAATATACTATTACCATTTTTATGTCGACAGAGCATTGAACAATCGAAGCCCATCACTAAAGAGGTTTTTTTGCATTTGTAGAGTTTTAACAAACTAAATATCAAAATCATTTTTACACCCAACAGTACAAGAATGTTTGTAAGACCTAGCAATTAAATTTTCTTGTAAGTAGGAACTCAATACTCTGAGACACCGACAACCACCCTAAAGACCCAAGCATTACACGAATAGGAGTGTAAAATATACAACCCAGAATAGCCCGCATGGCTTTATTTTGTAGCACTTGTATTCTATGAACATCACTGTTTCTACAAGAAATCAGAAGCAAATGACAATACCAAAAATAATAAAAAAAAAACCTATCTTTTTTCCATTTTTTTTACAAATATAATCTATATGTTGTGAGAAATTTAATTGAGAATCTAAAACTACTCCCAGATACTTCAATTGTGAAACATTTCCTATTAATCTACTATTTGGTCTACTACCAAATAATATATGCTGTTTTATTTAAATTTGACTTTTTATTTATGCACAACCAGTCACTAAGTAACCTTAATTCCTAGTTCATATTGTCTACCACTTTAAAGTAATTTTTCACAGAAATTGATAGCAAAGTATCATCCGCGAAAAGGTTGACAAAACAATTTTTCAAAATTTTGTCTATATCGTTCACATATAGAATAAAAAGCAAAGGTCCTAACACTGCCCTGGGCACAGCTATATTGTTTTCTAACTTATTAGATACCACGTTATTAATCCTTGTTACTTGGAATCTGTCACATAGATAATTAACTGTCCACACAAGCACATTCCGTTTGATTCCATATACAAACAGTTTTTCCACCAGACGTCCTCAACTAATGGTTTCAAAAGCTCTTTGAAGATCAACGAACACAGTTAAAACTATATTACCGTCATGAATGTCAGACCTCAATTTCGAGCACACTTATTGTAAAGACAATTTAGACGAGTGTTTCTCCAGAAACCCAGGCTGCCCTTTAAAAATTAGATTATTTTTTTCTAGGAAGCTACGCAACTGCAGGTTCACTCGGAACTGGTACTTTGGGTATAGGTATAATAACGCTTGTCTTGATCTCTTCGGGAATTTTTCCTGTCTTAAGTGAAGTATTTATTAAATATAAAAATGGATATCCGATATGACAAAAAGTATTTTTCAAAAAGTTTACATAGCATATGTTATCAGTTTTCAGTTTCATTACAATACTACTAAGTTCATTTATATTCAGCGTTTGAAAGCGTGTGAAATCCTTAAGATTTTCGGTACTAATTTCCTCAAGATTGTTTTGTATATTTTTTGTATATATATATATATATATATATATATATATATATATATATATATATATATATATATATATATATATATATATATATAGAAGTTATTAAAATTTTGTTCTATATTATCCAAATCATCTTCAAATTATTAATCCCTTTAACGTTCGCCACATTTTCTTGCTGTTTCGCTTACACCGATCAATGCATCTTTCATAATAATTCTTTATGAGCGATATCTCGTGCCATTTGTGTCTGAAGTATTATAGGACTCATCCAAGGTACTCTGTCATTAATATTTTTTTTTCATTGGTATCATCTTATCTACAACCTGGGGGACACGGAAAGAGCCTCCCCGAAGAATGCACAATTAGTTCATTCGGGCGTCCCCTGGGCAACGGTGCATTAGAACCGGCTAATCTTTCCACAAACTGAGCTACACTGATTGCGATCTGATCGAAACCATGAAAAAAGGACCCTTTTCAGAGCCAAATCTGACAATCGTATCACTCAATGTTGAAGGCATCTCAAATACTAAGCAAGACTTAATCTCCAACCTATGTAAAGAGAACTCATGTGACATCCTATGCCTCCAGGAGACACACAGAGGTCCAACACAACGCCGTCCAAACATACCAGGAATGACGCTAGTGAAAGAATGTCCCCATGACCAATATGGCAGCGTAATATTTGTAAAACCAATAACCAAAGTAACTAATGTACTTGCCACCACACTCAACAACATAGAGCTGATCACGATTATCCTCTGAAACATAACGGTATCCTCAATATACAAACCACCGAACGAGAGATTTTTATTCCCCCAACATCTTAACCAACCACTAGTCACAGCAATAGTCACAGTACAACTTGGGGATATCTTGACACAATCGAGGATGGAGAACTCCTGGAGAGGTCGGCCGAAGACAATGGCATGACCCTCATCCATGACCAGAAACATCCCGCTTCCTTTAATAGTGGTAGATGGATGAGAGGCTACAACCCGGACCTGATTTTCACCGGCAACTCTCTTGCTGGAACTAGCAATAAAACACTCATGGACCCTCTTCCACACTCCCAACATCGACCAATTATGCTAAAATTCAGACTAGTAATAATGCCGCAGAAGGTCCCATTTAAAAGGAGGTTTAACCTAAGTAAGGCTGACTGGAACAAATTTACAAAAGAGATCGATGAAGAAATTAGAAATCTTCTACCGACTCCAGCATTTTAAGATGAGTTCATCTCTATAATCAAGAAGACAGTATATGTATATACTCGGCCTCTCCAACGAAAGTAAAGGCACATACTAGGAATATTTAGAACACTAAAGAAAATACAGAATCCCTTCTCGTCAGAAACCATACAGTTAGGTAACCAGCTGATTGACTCCATAAGCAGGAAAAGACAGGGAGCATGGAAAGACACGATCGAGGGCCTGGATATGAGACACAGTAGCAGAAAAGCCTAGAGCCTCATAAAAAAGCTATCAGGAGACCCAACATGCTCCAAAGACCAAGTAAATGTCACCGCCAACGAAATCGCACATCAACTACTCTTAAACGGTAAGCCTGATCAAACTGTAAAAGTGACCCCCACCTTCAGGATGGCACAACAGCCTAGACAATCTAATGAGGCTTACTTTACCATTGCAGAACTGAAAACTGCAATCAAGTCTCTGAAGGCCAGGAAGGCCCCAGGCCCAGACCAAATCCTGAATGAGTTCCTGATGAACCTAGGCCCATCAGCCCAGAACTGGATTCTTCAAATGTATAACTCCTGCTGGACCAACAATACAATCCCAAAATTGTGACTAAAAGCTAAAATCGTAGCCGTCTTTAAACCGGGGAAACCAAGGGAAGATGCTAAAAGCTGCCGTACGGTGTCACTGTTGTGCTCTCCTTTCAAACTCTACGAACGCCTTATACTTAACAAGTATGGGCCCCAAATCGAAAACCATCTAATTGCCCAGCAAACAGGATTCAGACCTGGGAAATCCTGTACTGCTCAGGTACTAAGCCTCACCCAACACATTGAGGACGGCCTTGAGAGAAAGGAAACAACGGGGGCCATCTTTATAGATCTAAAGGCGGTATATGACACCATAAACCATAAAATATTACTGAAAAAAATTTTCAGAATGACAGGAGACTACCAGTGATAAAAACAATGCTATCTAACAGAAGATATTGTGTAGAGTTCCAAGGAACGAGAAGCCGTTGGAGGAACCAGAAGAATGGCCTTCATCAACAAGAAGCTTTATATACGCTGACGACGTAGCTATCACCTGCCAGTCAAAAAACATCGCAGAGAAAGAGGAGCAGATAACAGAATCCCTATCAAGACTGAATGATTATTACAGATCAAATCAGCTCCGCCCAAATACAGCGAAAACGCAGACATGCCTATTCCACCTCAATAACCGACAGG